AAAAAAAAAAAATCACGAAACCAAAAAGAATTCATCCAAAAGTTTTTATTGAAACGAAAATAAGTTTAACAATTATTCTTCGATTGTAACACAAACTAATGAATTTTTGTTTAGAAATTCTTTTTATACAAAAAAAAAAAAAATTTTCAGGGTAATAGACTAGTTTCACATATATGAAGGGTCGTGTAACCCAAAAAAAAAAAAATGATCACTTGAACATGCTTACTACTTTTTGAACCTCCCTTTTTAATAAAAAGAGAAAAAATAATGAAAAATATTGAGAAAAAGCGGGAATTCATAAAATAAACTTTTTTTTAGGGGGGTTAAAGTTTGGGTAAGTTTATCATTTCATTTCATCAAATTTTTATTTTTTACTGATTATAGATTTATAGTTTATTGAAAATTGAAAAAAAAAAGATGTATATGTACTACAAAGTAACACAATTTTGTTGTATAACTTCTTTTATGGATTCCGTTTTGTTGTTTTCATTGTTATTTTGTATTACTTTACAATATTTTACGCCTAAAAATTATTTTAATTTTTTTTTTTTTTTTAAAAAAAGTTTACAAAAAGTATAATAAGTTTATATGGATGCAGATGACGCAGCAAATATTTTAATTCGATCGACACAGGCAAAACTTTTCGCGTCACTTAATAAAATATTTAATTTGCTCATAACCGAAAAATTTTCCACCATAAAAAAAAAATTAATGAACTTTTTATTTTATTTATTATTTTTTTTTAACCGAAAAAATAAAAAAAGAAGTATATATATATATATATATATATATATACATATATAAAAAAGAAATAAGAAAAAAAAATAGTAATAATTAAAACTCGAAACGAAAAAAAAAATAAAATATAAAATAAAAAAAATAAAATAAAATAAAATATACTAATAATTCGAGTAATTCGGATATGCGAAACGTCGAAACGATAATAATTCGAGGTTCAAAGATAAAATTTTTCGTGGTCTCTCATATTCTTTTTTGGCTGCATAAAGTGCATAAAGTGCATAAAATGCGTAAAGGGAGTGAAAGGAGGACATACATAATTTTAAATAATAAAAAAAAAATTCTAAACATTTTACTTATAAGAAATTAATCATAATTGTTTTAAACTTAGGTAGAACTACTGTATATTATGGAACAAAAATAAGTTTTGAAACTTTTTGATCTTTCTGATCTTTCAAAAAAAAAGAGGATATAACGAAATTATAAAAAAAATAGAAAATAGAAAATAGAAAATTGAAAAATAGAAAATTGAAAAATAGAAAATTGAAAAATAGAAAAATTGAAAAATAGAAAATATGTTCACATATATTTGTTTTCATTTGGTCAAATATTCAGATATTCTAATTTTAATAATAAAATAAATGAGCCGAAATTATAATAGAAATAATGGAGTAATGGAACAAAAAAAAAAATCAATCGAAAACATAATTAATCATAATGTTTTTTTTTAAAAAAGAATGGAATAATTCATTCATATTGAGAATGAAAGTTGAGATTTGTTTTTCATTTTCATATAATCAAATCCATCATTTTATGAGCCGATTTACATTAGGAAAAGAAAAAAAATTCATCGTTAAAGAATTCTTTGAACGTTTTGAACATGTTCGTTTGATGGAATTTGATCTATTTTTTTTTTTTTTTTTGACAAAATAGAAAAAAATAGACTTAATTTATATTTTTCAAAAATTAATTTGATTAATATTAGCCTACTGATTATTAGCCTAGGCCTACTGATTAGTGCATTGAATCGGTTGTTTATTAAGTTAATATTTCAAATAATTCGAAAATGTTTTTATTTTTCTTTGATGTTTGTTTTTTTTTCTAACATAAATTATAATCGGAGGGGGAATTCCGGTACAAAAAAGGTAATTTTTTATAATGCTAATCGTTGATCTCACTTAACGCCCAAAAAAAACAGATCTGGGATTCTCCGCATTAGATCATCATTTTTAGAAATTGGGATTTCTTAATCAAAAATTAATTGGTTCCTTTATAAGATATAATAATGTATTCTTAACGAAGAAAAAAGTTAAATATTTTTATGTATGCATGCATTTTAACAAACATGAAAAATTAATTATAAATATTTTTCTTATATATTATTAACAAAGAAAAGAATATTCATAAACTTTTTGTTTGTCTTCCACATTAGGTATTTTCATATAGAATCTCAGCATATAATATAATAATCCATTAAAAGAAAACAATACTAATAAAAAAGTAAAATTAAAAAACATAATAATCAAAGTTAATTCTAGATAAGGTAAACAGTATAGTTTGAAATTTATAATAATTCGTTCGTTTTTACCTACCCGGATTTTTATAGGTTTACATATTTTTAATAATATTTATTTATTTTAATAATATTTATTTATTTTTAATAATATTTATTTATTTTAATAATATTTATAATTTTTTTTTTTTTAAAGAAATATACTGCATATAATATTTATTGTTTGACAAAATAAAAATATTTAATGTAAAATTTGGTCTTTTATTCTAACAACGCGTCGATTAACCTAAAAAAAGTATTATTACCACTAATTATGGTTATATTTATAAAAAAAAACGCGCCATTTATGTTATCTATATTATATATTTGAAAATCTATCTAAAAAAAAATCGAAAAATCGCGTATGAAAATAAATTCACGCGTTTATCCGGATTATCCGATAACGATAATATTTACATTATAGAATCACACAATTATATACAAATAATACAATTTATATAATTATATCTAATTATATAATTATACAATTCTGCAATTTCTGCAATTATAGCTAATTATATAATTATACAATTATATAGACAAAAAAATTATGTAAACATAATAAATTAATAATATAAATTAATGCTCGTGATAAATAAATAAATAAATAAATAAAAATGATTTCTTTGTTCAACTTTCTCACAATTAATTATAATATACTATGTTTTGTGATACCTGAAAGTTAAAATTTTTTTTTTTTTTTTTTATAAAAAATTTTTTTCCTTTCACAAAATTTTCCATTAAAAATTTCTTACCAAATTTTTAATTGCGCAGTATTGCGGTAAATCACGGAATTTCTATTTATAGAACAATGCCGTATGCACTATGCAATAATTCATGTGATCATTTCTTTTTTAACGACTTATTTATTGTCCAACAACATAGCAAATCAATTTTTTTTTTTTTTTCTTTTTATTTTTTTTTACCTTTTTTTATTATTAAAAATATTTATTTCTCTCATGACCTTATGATTCTTTCTCGAACTACACCTTCGACAATCGGATACAAATTAGGAAAGATCTTTTTTTAAAAATTTTTCTCCATGTTTGGTCCCAAATAATACATATAAATAATTTTTTTTGGTGTAATTGGTGTAATTTATACGATCAAATTAATCCTAATCTTAAAAGCGTTTAAGTTGCTCATCTATGAAAGTACGTATTTAGAGTTAGTTTGTATATTTAATAGCATAAATCTTTTTGAAAACCAACCTAAGATTTAATAATAACAATAATGATAATTATTATTATTATTATAATTATTATTTGTCATGTTATGGGCGTTTTTTTTTATAAACTAACTGTGTTTGATTTTTTCTTTATGTATTTAGAAAAGAGAGTAATTACGGCCAAAAATAAAAAGTATGAAAATTTTTTTTCTTTCCTAAAAAAAAAAAAAGAAAGAAAAAAAAAGAGCTCTTATAAAGTTCTTATAAATTACATCGTATTTGACCGTTATTAAAGCATCCCCTTCTTTGCTATTTAAAAATGTCATAATTCCTGATCTAGTCTTTCAACAAAGATCTAATGATTAAGAGCAATAATCCTGCAAATAATCAACGTAAATGGACTTTTATTTAATGTTTTAATAGCCAATTTATAAGGAGTGTTTAATAACAGTCAAATACGGTATTTTTATTACAAATAAATACCATTTTTTCATGAATCACTCTTATAATTTATAGCAGGAGAAATTAGGTCGAGATTTAGTTTTTGATCAAGAGGGTCAGAGGGTCATCGTTTTCTCGTAACGCTCGCAACGTTCAAGTACACCTAATTTTTTTTTTTTTTTTCCTTGTTTAGTAAAAAATACAAGTGAAATATTAGTAAAATACTGGTGAAATACTAGGGAAATACTAGTGAAATACTAGTGAAATACTAGGTGAAATACTAGGTGAAATACAGGTAAAATACAGGTGAATACATAGGTAAATACGGGTGAAATACTGGTGAAATACTGGTGAAATACTAGGTGAAATACTAGGTGAAATACAGGTAAAATACAGGTGAATACATAGGTAAATACAGGTAAAATACTGGTGAAATACTGGTGAAATACTGGTGAAATATTAATGAAATATTAGTGAAATATTAGTGAAATGCAGTAAAATACCAGTGAAATACTAGTGAAATATTGGTGAAATACCAGTGAAATATTGGTGAAATACTGGTGAAATACTGGTGAAATACTGGTGAAACACTGGTGAAACACTGGTGAAATACTGGTGAAACACTGGTGAAATACTGGTGAAATACTATACTAGCGAAATCCTTTCTCTTTTTATATAACTGATCTTTTTATTTTTTATATCATTAATTTCTTCTATTTCTTCATCTAATATTTCCATTTCACTTTAATAATTTTTTTTTTTTCGTCATAAAAAAGGAGAAAGGGATAATAATCAAGCTAAGGTAATTTAAAAAAATTTGAAGGTCATGCAAGACTGTTTTTAAAAAACGTGTCTTTGAATAAAATAAAGGCACTACATGAATACGTGCACTACATGTAAAAGTCATATTGGAAAGATCGATTAACATATATATTATATATACACAATTTTCTATCACTGTGACATAAATAATCAATATAGAATATTAAAATCATGTTTTAACAACGGAAAAAAGTTATCAAGAATTATACTTTGAAGAAAGATGGCTAGATATTTTAATTGGCGTAGGACAAGTCTTGGCTCTTGGATCTTTAACGCGATTCGTTGCTTTAATTGGCGTAGGACAAGTCTTGGCTCTTGGATCTTGACGCGATTCGTTGCGATACGTTGAACAATATTTAAACATATTTTGAGAATTCCACTAAACATTTTATGGTTAAAAAAAAAAAACTAAGAATTTCACAAAAATTTAGATGCCCGATTCAATACATTTAACGATATTTAAACATTTATTGTAAAACAAAGTTATGTAATTCGAATTCTAATTTCATTAAACAAAATTTAATTGTTCAATTCGTTGCAATACATTGAACGATATTAGTAAAACAAAATTATGTAATTTGAATTATGGATAAAAAAGACGACTTGTCTAATTTAATTTAATTGCTACACTTTATACACTTTTATGACTATTTTATGACTAAAAAAAAATCTTTTTTTTAAAAAATTCCACAATATTAAAGATATTGTTATGCAATTTTTTAATTATGGGTAAAAAGACGACTTGACTAATTTAATTTAATTGATTAGATTCGATTGCAATATACAGTATTTGAACAATATTAAAAAAAACATTTTAATTTTATAATAAATTTCACGCTATTAAAATATTGTAAAACAAAAAAAGTTATGTAATTTGAAAAAAGACCACATTTCTAATTTAAACATTGCCGGTTTACAAAATCGGCAAATAAAATAAACTATATTTTTTTCAATGATTTTTCCTATCCATTCAATGACGATCATAACCGGGCAAGAAATTAATTTATCCAAATATATATATATAAAAAGATAATTTATTCTCTTCAAGATAAAAAATATTTACAGGAAATATTACTTGTGGTAGAATATAATTTTCAAGAATTATAACTAGACCACCATACGAATATTACATAAAATGATTACCCAAATAAAGGATAATTTCACCTGATATTTACAAATTGGATAACGGATAAACGGGTAAACGGAAAATCGTTTATCTTCTTATCGAATATAACATGACAAACCGATTCTCACAGTGTTACATGTTTAATGATGGAATACGCGCAAAATTATTACTTGAATTCCGAAAAAGTGATGGATTTTGGGAAAAATTTTTTATACTCTACCATATATGTATTTCAAATTCAGATTTTACAATTCGGTCATTTTATATAGGCGACATCATACCATTCATATTATTACAAATGATAAAATCGGAAAAAAAAAAATGAAAAGTTTTATAAGCCGAGATATGTGAATGTGGCTTGTGGCTTTTACGTTGTGTGACGATTTAATTCGTGTGACATTGAATTAGATATTTTATGCATTTTTATTTTGTACACATTTTTTCCCCTACCTTTTTTCTTCTTCTTTTCTTTCCTTTCTTTTTTTTTTTTTTTCAAAGACATTTTTACATCAATATATTATAAACTTTTTAAAATTAAAATTTATTTGATGATTATCAGAATTGATTCCAATTAGAATATTCATGACTAAATGTACCCTTTATTATGTTACGCGACATGTAAATCACCGAATAAATAATCGAATTTTAGAATAAGATGGGAAANAAAAAAAAAAAAAAAAGATAAGGTTTACGACTTTACGACTTAATAAGGAATTTAAATCATTTTCCCGCAATATTATGATTACGTTGTTTATTATTCGCGTTCCAGAGTCATTTAGTCATTGTGAATCAAATAAATGTGGAACAAAGCAAAGGTTATTATTGTTTGTAATATGTTTATTTATCGATATATATATAGATAGATAATATATAAATTATAATAATAATAATAATCTTTAAATAAAAGTAACTCATTCTTATTTGCCACAATATAATGATCTAATAAATTACGTGATAATTTATTGAAACAAACAAAGAAACATGTATATTTGTGATATCTGAATTTTTTTTTTCTACAATGATCAAGTAAGTTTGTTATTTTAAACACAAAGAAAAAAAAAAAAAAATCTTTTTGAATTTAATTATTTACACAAAGAAAAATCTTAACTTTAATTAATTATACATATATGTATATATTAGATTTTTTTTTTTATTGATATAATGTGTAATGTGATAAAGGTAAATATATTTATTAAAAATATATAAAATAAATAAATAAATAAATAAATAAATATATATATATATATATATATATATATACATTTATTTACACGTATCATTCGTATCATTCGTATCATTCGTATCATTCGTATCAATAAAAAAAAAATCAGATCGTCTCCATTCTTTGAACAACAATAAAAACAATACACGTAACAAAATCTTTGTTATTTGATGCATTGTCATCTCACTTTCAATAAGGATAACATTCTGTAAATAAAATACACGTAACAGATTATAATTTATAAACTTTTTTAATACATCTTAGATCGAAAATCTTTACTTTGAAAGAAAAATGACACAAGGGGAAGAAGACACGACAGAAATTTCTATGAATGAAAATAATAATAATTTCCCTGTGTTTAGTCGATCTAGATATCGTAAAGAATTACCATTTTAGACATTTAAACTTTTTGTAAATACTTGATATAAAAAAATTCATTGTTTGTAATACTTGATACATTGAATACATAACAAGTAATGTATTTATGTGATATGATTTTATAATATCAGATATGTAAACATTATATAACTTATATATCACTTATAAATTTCTAACCATGTATGTAACTTTAGACGTCATAAGAGACCTGTAATTTTGATGTCATAAATATTTAAAATAAGTTAGTTATTTATAAGAATTTATATATATACCCATGAATCTTTATGAAATTAAAAGTTTGTGGAAAATTTTCCACCACTTAAGAAAAAATAAAAAATAAAAAATCAAGAAAAAACAAAAAAAAAACAAAAAAAAAAA